ACAACACGATTGTTCACCAAAGTGTCCCATCCACAACTACTCGAAACCCTTTTTAGATAGCTGCACAAAGGGCGCAACCAATTTGCTATTGGAAAATGTCCAGTCAGCTGTCCACACCAAGAAAAGATTTGCCAACGCGTCATTTTTTCTTCAGGAACTTTGGGTATGTTGTCACGTTTCCAACGCACTTGGTTGTTTTGTTTGTACACTCGCAATCCAAGCACACACCCACCGAAAAGTTTTTCTGGCAGCTTAGAATCCAAGCCATATTTTTTCAAGAGTTCTTGAACTCTACAACTTGACACTATGTTATTATTGACAATGATGTCATCAATAAATGAATCCGTCCCAGACCCGACAACTTTGTCTAAGGATAATACCTTTTTTAAGATTTTTGTCATTATTTTGGGCGCCACATTTAAACCAAAACCCAATCTTGTTAGACAGTATCGCTGCCCTTCATATTCCACAACTTGATATTTCCATAATGCTTGTCGACACGAATCTGCAGGTACGCTTTTTTTAAATCGATTATCTCAAGATTTTCTCCCAACTTTCTCCAGTTGTGAAGTTTGGTACTGCAATCATCTGCAGTATGACTGGATACAAATTGATTCAGCTCCCGGTAGTCCATCACCGGACGTACTTTTAATTTGTTTCATTGAATTACTGCCATCAACGGAATGATTCCATTACATTTCCCTTCAAACGGTTTCAGCCATCCCTGTGCTATCCATTCACTTATTTCCATTGCGTACTCACTTTTAACGTCTTCAGAGATGTGATAGTTTGGAATTTTGTTTGTTAAAGTTGGTGGTTCCATCAGCCATTTCCAAGACATTCTGCCATTTTTGAATTATGCTACTAAGTCTTTATCAATCAGCTTTTAAACAGTAGGCGTGGATACTTCATTCGTTTTTCCTTGAGAGACTAGACTATTACTTAATCTCTAAGTCCTTAAATAAAATTGTCAAAAAAAACTAGAACTGAGGATTTTTATCCACAGTTCTAGTTTTTTTTGACAATTTTATTTAAGGACTTAGAATTTATTCTAAGTCCTTAAATAAGGACTTAGAATTTATTCTAAGTCCTTATTCTTATTTAAGTAATAGAACTAATTTGTCAAAATTATTTGTAATAATTTTTAGACAGGCCTTGTTAAGAAGACAGGTCTTGAAAAGGAGACAGGCCACATTATGAAGAGTTACACAGGTTTTATTTTTTTTAAATGAGTTATACTGCTTACATTATCTAAAAATAAATATGATTGTTATTAATGTTTAACAACAGGACAGCAGCTTTGATATTTACATTGTTAAAAGTACAATTGTGTCATTAGGGTGTTTTAAGGTATCACATTGTAATAAAATTTAATTTTAAACTTAAAAATTATTTAAAATAATATAATAGAATCTAAAAATTTGAAAAAGATTTTCTTATAATTTATTTCTTGAAACAATCTTTACTTTTTTTTTAAGTCATTATATGTATGGGCAAACAAATAATGTCCAGATAATAGAATTTTTGTTTTTACTAATAAGATATTCATATAGATAGAAATATGTTCATAAATAAATGTCAAAAGAACTTTCCACGTTATAGAAATAATAAGAAACAAAAAACTTGAACAAAAAACATTTGTGAAAAGAAACTTTCTTAAACAAAAAATCAGGCTTGGACAGGAATGGCGTGCAATCGCACTCTGTAACTGACCTCGCTAATATTGCTTTTTCTTTACAATTTGACCACGGCAATTTTGATGTTTTATCAATTTAAAAGTGTTACGTTATGAATAACTTTTAATCGTTGATTTTTTCTAAAGCTTTTATTTTACGTAAGGCTTTAGATAAAACAATAAAATTAATTATAATAATTGTTTACATAAACGCATGTGTTAATTAATAAAAAATATTATACAAAAAACTTAATATTATTAAAAATTTTAATAAATTAAAATATTAAAAGTTTTTTTTTTATTATTATTACGATAGGAATGAATGAGTTTAAATTTTTTATAAATTCACATAACGAATTTATTTAAAATTCGTTATGTGAAGTGCTTATTAATAAAGTTGTAATGCTCAAATTAAATTGCTTGTTGGCAATTTATTTTATTTAAATCGCAGGCGCATTTTGTTATTTATTTTTTTCCCTTATAAAAAAAGTTTAAACCTTTTTTTCAACTAAACTTACTAATTTAAGCTTGAAATTATTAAAAATTACATACAACATTATATATAACACTTTTTAATAAATTTGATAAAATTTGATCATTTATTAAACAATCATTAGCAGTAATTTTAAATTACTTAATTTAAAAGCTTTTTGAAACGCTTTTAAATCACTTAATTTAAAAGCGTTTTGAAACGCTTTTAAATCACTTAATTTAAAAGCGTTTTGAAACGCTTTTAAATCACTTAATTTAAAAGCGTTTTGAAACGCTTTTAAATCACTTAATTTAAAAGCGTTTTGAAACGCTTTTAAATCACTTAATTTAAAA